TATGCAAAAGACTTTGATAGTGATTGAGTTATTGATTCACAAAGTATACCCGACTACAGCGCAAAAGACTTTGGTTTGCAAACATTTTTTTTATTAACATCAACTCTACAAAAACCCAACCAACTACTCGCTGTCCGTCTCGCCAATTTCCTCGCAGTCGCTGTCGCTGTCCTCCTCGGCCTCGCTCGCCTCGTCCGACGACTCCACGATGCGGCGCTTGACCTTCAGAGACCGCTGGTGCACCGTCTCGACGTCCGGCATCGTGGCCTTGCGCTTGCGGCTGGCGGCCGGAGCCTTGGCCTTGGCCTTGGCCCTGCCTTGGTGCTGGGGCCTGGTGCTGGCCATCGCGAGCTCCCCTAGCGGCGGCCGGGCCTCGCCCGCAAACTTGGTCCCGTAGGAAAAGACAAACAGGCGCTTGAGCTCCAGGTAGACGCCCCACGTGATGACCGAGACGGCCTCGTGGGCGTGCTGCATGAACGCATCGTACCTGTCCGCGATGGGCAGCGCCCTCACGGCACAGTAGGCGGCAGAGTCCTCGTCCCGGCGGCGGCCAGTGCGGATCAGAGCCGAGCGGACCAGCAGGTCGTACGGGATCACAAAGTCGCCCACCGGGAGCGGCGAGGTGGCCAGGCCCTTCGGCAGGGTCACCGTGGCGTTGTCGCACTTGAGCACCTGGGTGCGGCGGGGCAGCTCGCCGCTCTCGGTGGACCCGGCGTATTCGGGCACCCGCTGCAGCACATTGTAGAGCACCTTGTTGGACGCGTTGAGGCGGAAGACGCTGATGGCCACCAGGGACTCGGCGGCCAGCTTGTAGGTCGCATCGCCCAGCGACTCCGCGAGGTCAAAGCCCGCCAGTCCCAGGACACGGTCGCGTCCAGCCAGGATCATCGCCGTCGCCGCCGTCCGCAGCGGGAAGTCGTACCCCGCAGCGCCGACCTCCACGTCCCCGTCGTCGAGGCCGTCCAGGCCCCAGGTGTTCTCGTCGTCCTCGTCCTCTGGGCCGTCCTCATCGGTCCAGTTCGCAGACGGCATCAGCTGCATGAGCCTGTCCAGGTGGATCACCGCCCTCTTCTGGGTGGTCGGCACGGACTTCACCCAGGTCGGGTAGGTCAGGTGCTCGCGGGTCGGCCGAGAGAAGTTCTTGTCCTGCGCGTCCCCGACGAGCGTGTTGACGTTGTCGCCGTCCCGGCGGGGCATACTGAGGGACACAACAAGCTCCAGGCTGATCAGAACCTCAATCTCCGAGGCCAGCTGTCCGCACATGGCCGAAATGTCCGCCGTCTTCACCCGCAGCGGCGCAGTCGCGAGCTCGGGCCCCAGGAGCAGCCGGATGTGCGTCCTGAAGGCCTCAAAGCTGAAGAACACCGAGTCTCGGTCGCAGAGACGGGCCGCGCCCACGAGCGCGCCCACCCCGGCCTGTCGCAGCGACGCGCAGACCTTGCCCCCGAGGCTCCGGAGTCCGTTCTCGTAGGCCCCGTACAGCGAGACCGCGAGCTTGCGGGCGGCGGCCACAGCGGTGTCCTCGTCCGACTGTGCGGCACCAAAGATCTCGTCATCAAAATGGCTACTGTGCTCCAGCAGCGTCTGCAGGTAGTCCCAGGTCTCGGTGATGGCAAACTCCCGGTAGGCGGCGCACAGGCGGGTCCGGGTACCCGTCACCCGGTAGTAGAAGGTCTCCAGCAGGGACAGGACCGGCGCGACGAGGGTGGGGTAGTTGCCGCCCCGCAGCTTGCCAAGCGTAGCGTCGAGGTCCGCCAGGCTGGCCGTGTTCCAGAGGTACTCGTTCGCAAAGCCGCGGTGGACCTCGCCGGCCATCAGAGAGCTGACGGCCATGGCCGAGCTGCAGTACCGGAGGGCCAGGAACTCGCAGGCAGTGTCGCTCCTGGGCATGTACGCGCCGCAGGCCGCGGGGGTGGACTTGGCCTTCTCCAGCGCCGTGCACTCCGAGATCGACAGCGCCATGGTCTTGGCCAGGACGTGTTTGAAGAGCGAGGCGTGCAGGTACATGACCTGGACCTGCGAGGCGTCCATGGGCAGCCCGGTGGTGGTCGCCTGGAACGGCACCAGCGAGGTCATGGTGTCAATGTACGTGTTGATCTCGAGGCAGATGGCGGTGCTGTCGGCGACGGCGCCGAGGCGGGACACTATGGCAGAGTGGATGCGGCAGGCGGGGGTCAGGGGGGACAGGAACTTGTTGGAGTCCATTATCGACGGCCGGTTCATCTTGAGGGACTCGACCTTGATGGCGGTGGCACAGCCGGCGGCCAGGGTGCTGGTGGCCACGCAGGCGTCCAGCCAGCGGGGCTCGTCGGTACGGAGAAAGTGCAGGATGTCCACGACGGCGTCGCAGTTGAGCATCGAGGTGACTGGCATGCTAAAGTGTCGGTAGCCAAACATGGCCGAGGTCGCGAACTGCAGCATGCGCGAGTCGCAAAAGGCCTCCTCGAAAGCCTGGCAGTACTTGGAGGCAAAGGCGGCGTTGTGGGTCCTGCTGCTGGGCTTAATGTGGGGGTACATCTCAACGGCATCGAGGTCCTCGGCGTCCATGTCCGCGGGCAGACGGAAGAAGGCCAGGGCTCGGAGGAACCGGTTTTGGCCCCGCATGTTGGACACGTAGTTCATGGTGCAGTTGCCGGCCCGGTCGTCGCGCTGGACGAAGCAGCTGGCGAGCTCGTTCACGAGACTGAGCAGCCGGTCAATGGCGCCCTCGATCGCGGCATCGGTGGCGGCTCCGGCGTCGACGGCGGCCGTGTACTGCGAGTAGACGCGGAGTCCGAGGTAGCGGAGCACGATGGCGATGCAGAAGGTAATGTGGAAACGGTGGCCGCCGCCGGCGAGCACGACTCTCTGGTCCTCGGGACGGTGGTAGTACTCGACGGTGCCCACGTGGCGGATCTGGCCAAGCGCGGGGTCGGCGGCCGCGACCTCGGTGACGGTGCTGACATAGGCGTCCACACAGCCCTTGTTCTCGAACTGGACCACGCGCTGCTGAGGGGCAGCGACCATCTGGACCTTGAGAATATTGAAGAGCTGGACGTTGCCGCCGAGCCACTTGGATTCCTGTTGGGCAGACATGGTAGAATAGAATGGAATAGTAGAGTGGATTTGGAAGTTGTAGTTACACTAGAAGTGAAAAGTGACTTTCTGGGGTCTGGGGGAGCTGGTTATATAGGCGAAATGAAAATGAAAATGAAAATGAAAATGAAAATGAAAAAAGTCCAAGTATGATTTTTATTTTTCCAAGCCACGCCTGGGGGACGGGGCTGGCGGGCAGGGGTCTGGTGGACACCCGGCACTGGACCTTCATGGACCTGGGCGGCTTCATCAACCCCGTAGCCCGCGCCACCAGGGTCTCAGAGACTCCGCACCACCAGGCTTGCGCCGCTCGCCATTGTGCTCAGTAACACAAATACCATCCACCAGGGGTGCCAGTCCTGTCCCGGGGGTTCTCTCTCGTCATTGTGGTCAACAACACAAAATATTAATCGTCACTAGTAAAAGAGGTGAGGCTCTTCTCTCGCACCCACGACGGGCGTCCTGGCCCCGGGGCCAGGCTCTCTCGCCCCATGGCGGACGTCAACGTATCGGCGGCACCGGTGCCAGGCTCTC